GTTGAATCCAAGTACTGAACTTGCATTTTGTAGCTCCTAATAAGGATTTCAAAACGTTATCAGCTTCAAGAAACTTCAAGCTAAACTTCTGTTTTACTACATGAGTTTTATGGAGGTTGAGCAAAAATGTTGGTCTAAGATCAAACTCATTTTATAGCTTCAACAGTCAAGTTGTACTTGACCAAGACTAAACCAGAAAAAAGCAGCCTCTTATCAACAGTATGTGAACAAGTTGGTCTAAAGACAAAACAAGCTGAAGGCTCCTAGAATGCAGCTTTAAACGAAGGAATTTCAAAACAATGCCGACTGGGCTTTGAAACAACCGCAGCACCTTGATCCCTGCTGTGATGGGTGAGCTATAGATCGCTATGCATGTCAGTGCAATACCGTACTTAAAAAGAAAGCATCAGGTATAAAGTGGAAGATTTAACAACGATGAGCACACCCCTATTGAAACATCAGTTTTGCCCTTTCTGAGGTTTTCACTACCTCCTGACTGAGTATCCTGAATAATTAGAGCGAGGCGAAAGGAAAGAGTGAAAGCACAGGAAATGTTAAGCTTGGGCAGGACAAAAAGGAGAGGAAGTTTCCTTAACGCATGCCAGGCCTTTATAATGGTTGAAATGCTTGTGTATTGGAGACAGGTCGACAACAGGTCTAAAGCAGCAAAACACGCTCTATTCAAGGCTCCATAAATCCAAGGGAATTAGCAGAATGCTAACCTCGTGTATCAGTGTTACTCAGCAAAACAAGAAGAGACAAGAGCAGCGGGGAAATCATTTCAGGTTCTGAAGGCACACAGTGAAAGGCAAGAGGATTACTTAAAGAAAGGAGTAGGGTTTAAAAAAGAAGCAGCTTCCTGTTACTGAGAGAAGAATGACACGATTGAGTGACTTAGAGGGACTGCCTTACTTTTTCTTGTCCTTGTCTTTCTTGACGGGCTGAGATAAGGACAGTGTCTCGGCTGCCGCCTTCCTCTTGTTAAAGGCGTTCATCTCCTCCTCCAGGTATCCTCGCTTATCCTCCACCTTCTTCTTCTCCTCCTGGTGCATCCGTTTCAGCTGCTCGAACTTTTCGTGCAACTGAGGGGGAGAAGACGAGTGTGGAGACGGACAAATGGGATGAGGACAAGAGAGACGAAACTTTAGAAGAAAGGGCAGTTTAGGAAGAGTTTGTCTGACTAATATTTTTATACTCAAACTGAACTGAACATTGGCTTTTCCTATATTTTTTCAGTGTATATAATTTTGTCTTGCATGGTTATATTACTAAGAGCAGGTTAAATAACCATATTATGAAGTGCAGTGAAAAACAGGGCATCCCCCTGTTTAGTCATACACTGCTTCCCTTGTGATCGACAACACACCATCATCTGCTATTGCAGTGTGCAACACTTTGGTATGTATAACACTGGATGCACTGCAGAGCTGCTCAAAGTGTTTTTGAGGGCCCTGTATAGTTGACAAGTAGACACTCAAACAAAATAGAAACTATTAAATGCAGGTGTTAAAGACCTAAAGTGTCGCTTTTATGGTTACTGGGAGCCCTTAGCAACATTTTATGCACTCCTCAAGTACAACAAGGAAATAATGCACTATTGTAGATTTCAATCGTAATACTATGATGGGAGGTGAAAACTCATCTCTTTCCAACACTGAGAAAGTTGGTGGTAAACTGTAGAAACTGCACAAAATTTAAAAATGCCAAGACAAACTTTCTTAGATCAGACATACAGTCAAGTTACAAACAATAATTTAAAGTGTTTGATCTGTGCATTTCTTTCTGTGTAGTCACAGCTTCCTAAACTGACACTGAGTCATAACTTTGAGCCTCACTGTAGGGAAATCGTGTGATGAGGGTCTTGGTACTTTCTCACAGTGGTGCCAGATATGAGTGATTAGGATAAACCAATACAAACAGAGTCGGTCATTCACATGTGCAGACACTTTGTCATATCTTAAAATGTGCTGAACTCAACAGGTTTTACAGATGCCATGCAAAACTGTGTGCACAATATTTCTGATCTTCTGACAAAAATGCACCTGAAGTTGATGTGTGGACATGTCAGGTGCAATTGACTATCAAATAAACGACAGCTCGGCTTTTCCAGACTGACCTCTCTCTCCTTGTCTTTAAGTTCTGCTTCCGTCTCTTTTACTTTGTTGACAAACATTTGCCGCATTTCTTCCTCTTTGCGCTGCAGATCCCCCAAGAACTCTTTCCTCTTAGCCTCATACGTCTCCTGAAGGCTGCAGAGCAGTAAAGCCAGGACAGAGAACAGAAACAAAGAAAGATTAGGCACAGTCTTCAAAAGATAATCGTTTCCTTTCATTGCTGTTGACAGTTGGTTGACTGTGTGAGCCTTTCAATAAACGCATTGTCTGTGTTGCACTGGGTGTGTCCACCATCTACCTGAATGGCTCGCTGTCAGGATCTGTATCTTTGAAACCCATCTCCTCGAGCTTGCAGCGCCGGTACAGCTCATAATGGCGGGCATGTGTCTGCTCCCTCAGATCCTCCATGTTGACTCTGATCAGCATCTCTCTGAGCTTTACAAAGTCGCAGTGGCTCTCGTTCTCAACTAAAAGGACAAATACAGAACGCCATGAGTACAGCAGCAGAGACTCAGGAGGCCCTTTTAGTTATTCCCTCCACATTAGACTCCTCTGGTGTCCAAATAATGTTGTTTTCAGTCCTTGCTTCACGCCTTCATTCAGTGCCTGGCCATCATTTTCAAATGACTTTAACATGCCATCTGTCACTCCCTCAGCCTCTCTTCCTCTTAAAAGCAGGAATGTGAAGCCTCCACAGGAAACAGATAATTCGGCATGTACATATACGCCATCCTGAGTGATTAAATTAAACCAAAGCAATTTTTTTTTCCAGCAGACTTCATATTCTGCACTTTTCGTGCTCACTTTGTTCAACTGGAGAGAACTTTCACTTTAGTTTCACGTTTGAGTGAGTCTCACACTTAAATGCCTTCATGGTGACGAAAGGGCAGGAAGTGTTTCCTGCCTCACAGACTGACAGCAGAGGAGGGGAGAGGGGATGATGGGTGCCCTGGGCATCCACTCTGTTGAAGCCTTCAGTCACAGGTCACCTCACCCCATCAAAACAATAAGGACTGTTCTGATAATAAAATGTGTTTCATTTTGAGGCCAAAGCTAAGATCTGTAATGGCAGGAAAACCTAAGAAAACCTAAGATAAACCATTTTGTACAGTAAAACAATCTCAAAGTTAAGATAAAACAAGTGAGTCATAAAGAGCTAATACAGGCAGAAAGAAAAGTCAAACAAGCACTTTGGGGGACTGTAGATCAGGAAGTACTATAAACCAGCTATATAAATGCAGTCCATTTGCCATTATTTACTCAAGTTCTGACGCGAGTTTTGTATTTTAGCTAATACTGACAGTTTCCCACCATAAAACGATGATCTTCCATTCAACTATAGCTAGCGAGAATGCTTGCTACAGATCTGCTGTTGCTGAGAGAAATCTTATTAAAATAAAATAAAAACAAAAAGGGTTTAACTTGCGTGCAACATCATTTGTTCAGATCAAACATGGAAGGCAAGACTTCAGTACATTAAATAAAAACTTTTAATACCTTCTGAGTTCATTCGATCTCTTTTTGTCTATATTGGAAACTAACTTGAACAACATCTTCAGTAAGCTTTTTTTGTTTTGCTTTTAAATAACAGGAGACGATTTGGAGAACAATGAATGGAGTATTAGTAGATCCCAAGGATATCTTAATAGAATGTTTGGCTAAACTAAAAAAAATAAAAGCATAACTCATTAAAAAATTTGTTGAAAGTCAAGTTCATCAACCTACTGGCAAAACTCAGCAACCCCTTAAGATTACTTTGGTTGCTTCAGACCGGGTTTGTGAAGAAAGGTCACCGTGGTGAGAAAATACAAAGGCATTATGTTTAAATACCACCAGAAGCTCTAAGGATGAATAAACAACAGTGGTGGCATTCAAAAAGCACAATTAGCTTTTCCAGGTGGACACAGATGTGAAAGTCTGCAGAGGATGACGTTAAAATATAACAATGCAACATAAATATTTAAACAAAACAACAAAGGGTAACTTAAAAAAAAAAAAAAAGAAGGCATTCCTTTATTAGACTTGGACAAAACACAAAATAAACTAACAAATTCTTTTGAAACCAAAATTAATTTCAAAAATCAGCAGTCATTCAGCTGCATGACTCAGTCACTCGTGTATTTTTTGCTCAAATTTGCTGGCTAACCGCACATCATTAGTGGAAAAAACATGGGTTTAAAAAAAAAGAAACTAGCCGTTTACTGGGGCTGCATCCAGGCTACAGAAAATTATTGTTCATTTGGCATCTAATAGCCTCTCTTCTGCACACTACCACCACTACCACCACACCCCCGTGAGGACTGAATGAAGGCCAACTCTCCAACTGCCTGCAGCACTGAGCCCTCAAGATACAGAAGCACATGGCTCTGCTGGTACACAGACACATGCACAGAAATACAGAAGCAAGCAAGAGAGATGTGGCTCCAAATAAAGTTATCAAAAGTAAACATTCATGCAATTAAAAACCTAGAATGATCGGTTTGTACTGGGTTGATTAACTGCTCCGTGAGTCTTTGGAAAGGCTTCCAGATGTTTGGAGTTTCAAAGATAAATATTACAGATTAGGGAAAGCTTTGCCTCATCATATACATCCTTCAGTCTCTGCTGAATCCTTGAATTCCTTACTGCTTTCCAAATATTTATTCCCTGCGCCAAGGAGGTAGGTAGGATTTTGATAGTGTCATTCTATCTGTAAACACCATAGATCAAACTGTTTTGAAACAATTCTGATAAAACTTAGTAGAGGTGTAGAGTGGGGTCATGTTAACAATCCATTAAAATCTGGCTTACATCCACCAAGGTCTTCAAGGTCAACTCACTGACTTATTGTGCAAATATTGACAAAAAGCCTTATAGCCAAGTGTGGGCTATATAGAGTTGTTGAAATTGACAACAGTTTTTCACACTGGCAAGAAAATATTAGCATGGAACATTAACCCTAACCCTTTAATTTTATTACAGTACAGTAATGGGTTATAACCATTTAAATACAAAACAATTTGGGCACATGTACAATGATCTGGGTCATTTATGCTTTCTTCAAGAATTTTAAGATGGACAGATGGAAATATTCACAATTTGCTAATCTCTCACTGTCTTGTTGTGGGCTTATATACATACTATGTGTATATACTATTACGATATTTAAATGGTAATAAAAGCGAGTCATGTTGTAAAGTACATGCCGTACTTCATGCAGGGATGTGGGAACCAGCAGTGCTGTCTTTTACAGTATAAAGACGTGATCTCACCTCATATTACTTCAGTGCATGATCATTTCCTCTGGGGCCGTGTCTAGACTCTTCTTCTTTCTTTCTTTTTTTTTACTTGTTTGTATAAGAGAACATTAATAAATCGTGTTCAAATAATGCCCTTGTACAGTGAGGCTGTTTGGGTGGTGACGAGTCTTCAGGCGTGTTTGGTGAGGAGTTCTGAATTTAAAAATCCAGGGTCACTGTTTATTTCTGCTTTCTGCTGAAATATTAAAACCAACGAAATATCGATGGACGGATTACATTCTCAGAAGAAAATAAGTCTGCGAAAAACTTGATCTATGTGATTATTTAGTAGCTTTTAGTGATACTTTTACTGAGTAGATTAATGCTGAATAATACATTTTTTTAAATCAAGAACAAATGTACGTTTCTGAACTTACATAAATCTACACATTCTCAGTATTTACTGTTTATGTGATTAGGGATGTGTAATTTGATGCCAGAAAAATATTCTTAATTTTGTGTCGTTTTCTATCTGTGTGAATAGTAACACATAGAAAGCTGCAGAGAAGGTCTGCTACGTGTCACAGATGTCTGGAGTTCAGAGATAACAGCACAATAAGATCTTGGGGAAGATTAAATACACACACACACACACACACACACACACACAAAGACCCCCTGAATAGCTCTTTTAGTCAGCAGACAGCCCTTGTCTGTCTTTCTTCAAGCTCATGGAAATTTCTCATGACTCTTTAAGAGGTTACCATAACCCATCTATATGACATCTGGCATCTACAAACTGTTTCCACAGATTGAGAGCCTCCCTTCAGTCAGCTGCATGTTATAAAACACAGAGACCTCTGTGCTCAGATACTGTGACAAGTGTGTTGTATGAATGATGAGCAATCAGTGTGAAAGCAGGGCTGAGTCAAAATGGAAGTAGCTTTGCTGTATTATATCCCATCAATTTAGACTTTTGATGCCAGACATTGATGGACTTTACTGATGAGACATAACCATGCAGACAACAACAAGCTTCAAGAGTCTACTGCACAAGTTATAGTTGTTTCTAAATACAAAAATAAACAAATACTACATACCTGCTTGCAACTATAATACATTATTGTGTGTTGTGTAATATATAAGAACACTTGTAAAAAAAAAAAATAAGAAAAGCAACCAGGAAAGAAATGAGCTTACAGCAGGGCTGACAAAACTTTTTTGCAGTAAGCACCAGTCTGTCGGATGACTGGACTAGAGCAGCACAGTGACTGATAAATCCAGAGGAATCCATCCCACAGGAGACACGCAGCAGGCTTTAGAAATAACCACAGTGTCCTCTGAGGGTTGGAGAATGAGTGGCCACTAGATAATGGAGAGAGGAGAGGAAGAGAGGACGGGTGAGGGAGGGAGCAGTAAACGAAAAAGGAAGGAAGGAAGCGAGAGATGGAGGGAGAGTGGAAGGGAGTGAGCGAGGTTCTCTGACAGGATGACTCCCACATGAGCAGCAATATTCTCACAGCAAATCCGTGTGTGTGTGTGTGTGTGTGTGTGTGTGTGTGTGTGTGTGTGTGTGTGTGTGTGTGTGTG